TTTTGTGTCATAAAAGTCATGGATTTTTTTTTACATAGAATGTCAATTAACACTATAAATTAATGAGTTTTGAGAGTTTTTTGTCTCCTCATCACATCTTCAACCTTAAGATAAACTTCACTGGCTGAAACTGAGATAAAGATTTGACCTTTTTGAAGAACAGCCTTTGCAAGAAATAATACAAATATTTAAAAGCAAAAACAATGATTGTCATCACTGATGTTAGACTGAATATCCTAAAATAATACAAAATAATATTGCATTGATGTTTTATGAAAATGATAACATCACTGATATTTATTTTTTTTTCACATGCCTTGGACAAACTAGTTCAGGACGAAACTTGGCAAAGAAATAATTAATTCAGTTAAATATTAATTGTACTCAATTTTTGTTTTGAAAATTGTATTGAAACATAAATTACTGACATTAAACATTTCCCATGTGGTGTATATGTATATTTTTCTTTGTAGTAGTTACGTGTCAATTTTCTTGGGGGAGGAAATATCTTTTACGGGCATTAACTGAAAAATGTTAATAATAATCAATTAAGGTCTTTGATTGGGACTGTGGATGAACATGATTGTATCAACAAAATTGTAGAAAATAAGATTTAAGGATCCCTGTCCCACTGTACCGTAATTTTTTCTATATATACAGACCCCCCCCCCACACACACACACTTCCACTTCTCTGTTTGGATATTTAACAATACCACAGTTGGGCCCGAACACTTCTGTTGACCAGGTAGCTCAGTCAGTAAGAGAGATGGTATAACACTCTTAAGTTCAGGGTTCGAATTACCGTCTAGCTCCACAAATTTTGTTAAATTCACAACATCATTGTTGATTATATTTGTTAATTTCATATACATTATTTTTTCATGAAAATCTTGCAAGGTATGGCTTTTCAGAAACGGTTTATAAAAGCTATAGTCATGCCGGAAGATTTTTTTTTAAAAACTTTGTTACAGTTTTAGGCAGTGGTACGGGGATCCTTAACAGCTTGCTGTGATACAAATATCCTTCCAGAAATTAATTTGATTGATTGGGATTGTACATCTTCTGTAGATGCAGCTCATTCCTATCAGGTAACTTTCTCTCCAGAAGTTCCATCGACAGAAACAACACTATCTTATTGGTTTAAATGTGTGTCACAAACATAAGCCATTTAACATGTAAATAGAGCTTGATAAAGAACCCATCTAAAAGTAAAAAAATAATACATCTCTTATCATACATAACAAAACCATCACAACAACTTTATCCAATAATTTTGGACAGGATGCCCAGTACAAACAAATTACCATAAACAATATCCCACGATATGTACTGTGTCTAGTGAACAGGAATCACTGGGTGGATAGCACTGGATACAAAGCATAGCATTGATTCTATAACAAGGACAAATACAAGACTCTCAAACAACTCTACATCAGCTGAAATGGTCACATACAAAAAAGTGAAATCCAAATCACACACAGGCTAAACAATCACACCAATAGTATACACAGGTCTCTCTAGATATAGTCACATACATAACAGGTCACACCCTCATAAATAACTTCTCTAGAAATAGTCACATTCGTGCAGGTCACAATCTCATAAATGCCTTCTCTAGAAATAGTCACACACATACAGATAACACCTACATGATAATTAACCTCTCCAGAAATAGTCACAGCCATACAGGTCACTCTCATAAATAACTTCTCTAGAAATAGGCACACCCATACAGATCACTACCACATTATAACTTCTCTAGAAAGTCACAAACATACAGGTCACACCAAAATTATAAATAACTTCTCTAGAAATAGTCACACCCATACAGGTCACACTCTCATTATAAATAACTTCTCTAGAAATAGTCACAAACATACAGGTCACACCAAAATTATAAATAACTTCTCTAGAAATAGTCTCAAACATACAGGTCACACCAAAATTAAAAATAACTTCTCTAGAAATAGGCACACCCATACAGATCACGCCCACATGATAGTTAACCTCTCTAGAAATAGTCACACCCATACGGGTCACACTCTCATTATAAATAACCTCTCTAGAAATAGGCACACCCATCCAGGTCACACCCTCATTATAACTCACCTCTCCAGAAATAGGAACACCCATACAGATCACACCCTCAATATAAATCACCTCTCCAGAAATAGGCACACCCATACAGATCACACCCACATGATAGTTAACCTCTCTAGAAATATTCACCCATACAAGTCACACACACATGATACAGACCAAATATCTTCTCTAGAAATAGTCACATTCATACAGGTCACACACACTTGATGCAGACTAAATATCTTCTCTAGACATGGTCACACCCATATAGATCAAATCCATCTTATACATTGTGCAACCTAAATATCCTCTCTAGAAATGGTCACACCCATATAGATCACATCCATCTTATACATTGTACAGCCTAAATATCCTCTCTAGACATGGTCACACCCATATAGATCACATCCATCTTATACATTGTGCAACCTAAATATCCTCCCTGGCAATTGTTGCTTCCACACACATTCCACTCAGATAAGTCAAATCAAACTATCAACACTTATTAGGTATATAAACATCTTACAAGTAATTATTTTTGTTGCCATATACCCTAAAATCTCAAAAATAAGCCACAGCTTATTTTTGTTTTAGTACAGAATCCCTGGCTTATTTTTTTAAGCCAGCTTTTGTTCAAGACTCTTATATTTTTTAAGCCACACACATGGCCACAAAGAAAGGTGTGTATAGCTTATTTTCAAGGCCTATTCCCTTTTGAAGCCTTTTAAACAGTACAAGTCATCGCAAGTCCCACTTAAGAAATGTTACTTTTCAAATTAGAATAATTCATTATTAATGGTTTTGTAGAAATAGTAAATGACACATAGTTATTTATAATATTTTTCCACTGTATATCTTATTTATATATTATATACATGCTCAGCGATTTTTTTTCATACCCCCGTATATGTGGATAGGATTTGTGACAACATGATATATAAAAAGACAACATATGTTTAAGATATATTTGACTGCAAGGAATCATTCACTGCATGACATGTGGTTTATGTGGTTGTTATGGAACCACAAAAACAACCACAACAAATTGAATTGATCATATTGACTACAGTTTTGTTTATAATGGGCATCCACAAAAGTTCGTACCACGATCTAAATGGCTTCAAACCATGAAAGAAAATGCTCACCAACATTTCATGTTATTCAGCACAGATTTCTTTTCAAAAGACAGCCTATTTTCTAACCCTGGCTTATTATCAAGGTTTTAGGGTATATTCTTGAGAACTGGATATTCTGTTGTCAGTGGATTTCCATCTTCGCTAGCCAAGTGTTCACTTCGTATACACTCCACTTAAGTAGAGTGTATACGAAGTGAACACTTGGCTAGCGAAGATGGTGGATTTCAAGAACACCTGAAATGATTTTTCACAGTTAGCACATAAACCACACTAAGACTAAGATAAGACAAGTTAAATAATGCACACTAATTAACCCTTTAAACATCCAAAACTTTGTGATTTCTATTCCTGTTTTGGTAGTGTTATTCTCTAAATGCAGATTGTATACAGTGTATTATGCATCAATAAGTATCACCCAATGATAAGACCACAGCAGAAATAACCTACCCTACCCTATAGAAGGTCATTTCTCAAACGTGCCTTTATTTACAGCTTCACACCTTTTCTAAAGACCCTTAATGTAGCAGAGATCATCATTTATTTGTAAATGCCTCTGCTAGGGTCAAAACCTCAGGCTCTACCAATGAGCTAAAGGAAAGTTCTCCATAGCGAAATGCCTAGTACTTCACCAGGAAGACATACTCCCCCTCACATATCTTCAATAAAATTAATCAGTTTGGAAATAAGTAATATCAAAGTTTTACTTTCTAGACAAACACTGTACAACTGACTGGTCCACTTGTCAAGCTATGACCAGTCGGTCTGGAAACATAGCAACACGTTTAATATGTACATTGTTTGTGTAGAAAGCCAAACTTTGATAATGCTGCCCCTCCAGTTTTCCAAGGGTCATAGCCATTCTTGTGAAAGTATTGCTAGTGTTTTTTTGTAAAAGTTTTCCAGGTTCCTATATGGGCCCCAATGTAACAAAGGTCATTACAATTTGAATGCCTAGGCTAGAAGATGAACCTGGAACCTCTGGCTTATTAGTTTGACACTCTACCGATTGAGCTATAAAGACATTCTCCCTAGCCCAATCAGTAGGGAGCAGCCAGTATATATTTCACCAAGTTGTCATTAAAAACATTATTCTAGAAATTTCATATCAAAACCGCAACAAATAACACCCACAACAATTACTAACTATGTGGTATAGAGCTTGTGATGATGGTCACAATGGTTTAAGAAATCGTGGAGAAAAGCAAAGTAACATACATATATTACTATCAAATTGTAATTTATATCAAATAACGTATCACATACTTGACATCTGTTTGACAACAGAAGCTAAGGAAACCCATACTATTCCCAGAGCAAGCCCCTATATATCAATCCCTACGTGAACCCATAGATAACACCCAAGGTTAACTCAAGGGTAATGCTTCTTACATTTACTCATGAAAAACACTCCCCAGATTAACCAATAGTAATATTTCTTCATTAATATTAATATTAACTAACACATAGGTAATATTTCTTAAGTAAAACATTGACAACAACCCCTAAGTTAACTTGTAAATTATACAGATATAAACCCATAGACATTACTCCCTTAGTAAATCATAGACACCAAGTCACACCATCACCTGATATGACAGAATGTACATGACATTTAGTCACACCAGCACATGATACACAGAATGTACATGACGTTTAGTCACACCAGCACATGATATGACCGAATGTACATGACATTTAGTCACACCAGTACATGATACAAAGAATGTACATGACATTTAGTCACATCAGTACATGATACAAAGAATGTACATAACATTTAGTCACATCAGTACATGATACAAAGAATGTACATGACATTTAGTCACATCAGTACATGATATGACAGATATACCAACACATGTGACAGGTATCGACATTGCTGTGATATAAAGTACCTAGAACTTCCTGTCACAACAACCTCTGCTGTTACAGAATGTGCCATCAATACATACTGTGACTGAAATGTATCGAAGACTTTGTCACATCAATACACATTTGACAGATGTACCTATGACTTTCAATCACACAGTGGTAACAAATTATATGACATGAACATACATAGGATTTCTGAGGAATGTATTAAGACTTCTGTTACAACACATGATGAAACAGGATGAACGTTGAACTTCCAGTCACATCAATACATGAAGCGACAGGAACAAACTTAGGATTTTAATGGTTTTTCACTATCTCCTTCCTCAACATTTTTAGCCACCTTAGAGAGAGCATCCTGGTGCTGTTGTTTCATCTCACTGCGCTTGACCTCAGAGTAGGCACCTGATCCACCAAGCACGACTGCATTACTGGTCCACCAAAGCAGAGGCTTGGAATCCTGGAAGTAGAGACAGGCTATCACAGTCTGGGCGCATGCCTTGGCTGTCCCTGATATGTTATGTGTGAGAGGGGAGGTAACCTGGATTTGAAGACCTGTCACATAACCAATGGCAAACCCAAATATGCCACCAACATTCATGTATAGCCAGAAGGTGGAGTCCCAAATTTTAGGAAAGTGCATAACTTCTGGCACCTCACCAGACAACAGCATGAGGGGCATGAATAGCACCACGGCGTTGAGATTGTTGTAGTAGGTAAGACGCCAAACATTATTGTCCAGTAGGGGCAGCACCTTCTTGGTAAAGATGGAGTTCATGGCCACACTGGCACTAGCTGCTACCCCAAATAATACCCCGACCACTGACAGGGAACCTGTAAAACACAGAGAATGGCATTAAAACACACAGAGAAATACACTGCAATCACTGACAGGGAACCTGTAACACACAGAGAGGGGCATTAAAACACACAGAGAAATTCACACCAATCACAGGCAGAGAACATGTAACCTGTAACACACAGAGAGGGGCATTAAAACACACAGAGAAATACACTCCAATAACTGACAGGGAACCTGTAACATACAGAGAGGGGCAATAAAACACACAGAGAAATACACTCCAATCACTGACAAGGAACCTGTAACACACAGAGAGGGGCATTAAAACACACAGAGAAATTCACACCAATCACAGGCAGAGAACATGTAACCTGTAACACACAGAGAGGGGCATTAAAACACACAGAGAAATACACTCCAATAACTGACAGGGAACCTGTAACATACAGAGAGGGGCATTAAAACACACAGAGAAATACACTCCAATCACTGACAAGGAACCTGTAACACACAGAGAGGGGCATTAAAACACACAGAGAAACACACTCCAATAACTGACAGGGAAGCTGTAACATACAGAGAGGGGCGTTAAAACACACAGAGAAACACACTCCAATAACTGACAGGGAAGCTGTAACATACAGAGAGGGGCATTAAAACACAGAGAAATATACCCCGATCACACAGAACTACACCCCGATCACTGACAGGGAACTTGTAACACACAGAGAGGGGTATTAAAACACACACATAAATATACCCCGATCACAGGCAGAAAACCTGTAACACACAGAGAGAGGTATTAAAACACACACAGAAATATACCCCGATAACAGACAGAGAACCTGTAACACACAGAGAGGAGTATTAAATCACACACAGAAATACTGTAAGATCACTGACAGGGAATTTGTAACACACAGAGAGGGGTATTTTAAACACACACAGAAATACACCCCGATCACTGACAGGGAATTTGTAAGACAGAGAGGGGCATTAAAACACACACAGAAATACACCCCGATCACTGACACGGAACTTGTAACACACAGAGAGGGGCATTAAATCACACACAGAAATACACCTTCATCACAGACAGGGAAGTTGTAACACACAGAGAGATACACTCCAATCACTGACAGGAAACCTGTGAGACAGAGAGGGCATAATTCACTATTCAACATTTTTCCATGTGCATTACCTGGTGTATGGCATCTACAAAATGTTGAACTTTATAAACTTTTACATAAAGCATATCTTTATCAAAATACCTTTGCTGTTCACTCAAACCTCAGAGCAAAATAGTTTGCCTCGACCATATTTTGGGCTGAATACTTACCAGCTGCACCTTCCTGATCAACTCCCAAAAAGAAGCCAGCAATGATGACACCACAGCAGGCAAGGGACTTACAAGAGGTGGCCTGCTTCAGGATCAGGTACGAGAATACCTGGGGTAATAAAAGTAACATCATTACAGGTATTATCAATTCAGTCTGAAGTCTCAGATTAATTTTAATGAACAATTTTAAGGCAGATCAGTTGGTTTAAAAATTGGACATAAATACAATTCACATTCAGTTACACCCAAGTTCCTAGTGTTTAAAGACTATATAAGTTATAAAGACAGGAAAAAAACATATTTGTACATAATGAAACACTGATATATAACAACCCAACATAATTCAATGTAACCAAACAGTGGCAACATCACAAATGTCTTCCCAAATGATCTCGGTTCTTATTAGTTCTTTCACAAGTGATGATTTCATCAAGGTTTCCTCCATGATCAACAATACTAAAACTTTTAAAAGACTGCTAAGAGGTCTAACTAGCTTACTACAACATCAAGTGTCGATCCTGCAATAACCAGCAACACAATTTAAAAGTGTTTATATGCTCTAAATTATTGACTCACCACGTACCTTAAGGTGGAAAGAGAGTGACACAGACGGATACATTTACCACACTGAAGAACTTGATGGAGACTTATATGTACACCTACCACACTGAAGATTTTGACGAGAGACTTACATGTACACCTACCACACTGAAGAATTGACAGAGACTTACTGGTACACCTACCACACTGAAGGCTTGACAGAGACTTACAGGTACACCTACCACACTGAGGGTTTGACAGAGACTTACTGGTACACCTACCACACCGAAGAACTTGACAGAGACTTACATGTACACCTACCACACCGAAGAACTTGACAGAGACTTACTGGTACACCTACCACACTGAAGGCTTGACAGAGACTTAC